ATACTGCTTTCCAATTAATTGAATTAAAATATTTTATAATTTTAACATAATTTCCTTTTTTAAATATATAACTTAAAATAAATTTTTTATTGATATTATTAGCGCTTATCAGGTAGTTCCAAGTCAATATCATATGTGCATGGACAATTTTACCTAAAGGAGGTTTTGATGTGAGTTCAGAAACACGATTTGGATTTTCTGTAAATATAAGATCAAGAATGGTAGTCGAATCTTTATCCATCTTTTGAAATGTTGGAAAAAATACATTTTGTGACAAAAAGCAGTCGTTTATAGTTACTGTGAAGTGAAATTCTGAACTATTTAGATCTGAACAGGTACCAATGAAGATATCATCAACCTATTTTATATTCGGATAATTAAAGTCTCCGGTAAACAAAAAAATGTGTAAAAGCACTATTATTGTAAACATCTCTGTAGACATAACCAACTAATATTTTTTCAAATTTATATTTGAGTCCACACCATATTTGTTCTATATCAGGATAACATAGTTTAATAGAGTTAATTTCAAAAATTATAAGATCTTTTCGTGTATAGATACAAACTTCACTACTTGGTCTGTTAATTTTGTCCTTTCTAAAAATATTATGACCATTCAGGTTTGACACTGATTCAGCATTAAACCATGTTTCCGTCACCATTATAACATCTATTTTATTTAAATGTGCTAATACTGAAAGTTCATTAGGTTTTTTATTTTATGAGGTTGTGTTTGTATTTAACATTTTTAGGTTTTTCTTGTTATTGTTTGTTAATCTTGACAATCTGTTGCCTCTGAATCCCATAAACAAAGGTATCCGTATTTTGCAGAGAGTTATTTTTCCTTTTTTTTTTCCTGTCTTGAAGCATAATCAATTTCGGCTAATGTTTTATCTGGGTTAATGAATATATCCTTCAAATTTTCATGTGAGCGTAATTCATTTGCTGCCGCATATATAGTATTTCTTTGTGCTTTGTCCTTTAAATGTACTAAAATTGGAGCAGGTTTCAGACTAACAATTTTTTTTTTAAATCTTCTCACAAAGACCCAGGAACATGGTTCTTCCACAACATTAAAATGATTAGCATGTTTTTCCAAATTGGTTGTTGCATCAGATTCTGTTACACCAAATTTTATTATATTAGCCTCCTTTTTTTTTCGTTCATTTTGTTCTATAATTGACGCGTTTAGGTTGATTAGTTGTGTTTCACTTTTTTTTCCACAAACAACAATGTCTGCCCACGAGTGAGCAGATGTTGTTGTTGTTTTGACCATTATTTTTTTCTTTTTTAACTTGACATTTTAGGCCAGTCTAAAAAATATAAAATAAATGTTTTTGTTTGAGGTTTTTAGTAGGGGTCTTCCATAAAATACATAAAACTTAATTTAAATTTTAAATAGAAATGAGATCATTTGCTCAATCTTTATACAAGACTATGTTTTATATTTTGTTGAATGAAAATCTCTTATACAAGAGATTTTCATTTAACAAAAAGCACTTTTGAATTTAAATTACTTTAAACCTCTATGTGGAATCCAATAACTTAATACTTCAATTTAAAAGTTAAATTTAATGAGATGTATTTTATGGATAAAGTATATTACATTTTACCTTAAAGTAAATCAAAACAAACAAAGTTAAGTTACGAAACTTTATTAATAAATAAACTTAATATGTTCAAAGACATTTACTTGCAAAAGTCAGCCATAGCAATGTTTCTATTTATATCTTATGCTAACACATAAAAAGTGTTAATAAATAAGCAATAAAAAATAATAAAATCTCTTTAATAAGGATCCCTTTAAGTATCAACTAAAGTAATAACATTTCTGAAAGCAATATCATAATAGAAATAAATATGTTTCTTGTACATTATTATATAACAGCAACTTAAGCCTTAAATTATAACTTATATTATAACAAATTATAACAGTAATTTTAACTATTTTAAACCCCGCTAAACAAGAATATAATGAGAAATTATAACATTTTATACTCGCAAAACAAAATATAATACTATATAAATAGTGTTTAAGATTTCTCGATATTTTTTATTCTCGAGAAATGAGAAATTGAGAATGAGCTTCTCGAGAATTCTTGAGAAATTTTGAGAAATGTCAAAATTATAATTTTTTTCAAATTTTAATATCATTTATGTTCATAAAATCTATAAGAACAAACATTTCATTAAAAAAGCAGCATATTAACAAATATATAAGTCAATTTATTAATATAAGAAAAAAATATGACAGAAAAAAGATTTACTATAAAATATAAAAGCATAACAAGTTTTTATTTATTGTTTTTGAAGTAATATTTAAAAAAACATAATGCATTCAATGACGTGTTTGATAATCTATTTCTTATTTTGTAACAAAATCATTTGCAGTCGAGAAATTATGTTCATTTTGCGTTGAAGTTGGTTTTATTGTAGATAATAAAATAATCTTTTAGATTTTCCAAATTTTGTGACCTTATTCCAGTTGTTTGGAATATGCTGCATTCTTTTTTAAGTGTCTGATAAAGATTCTGGTTATCATTATCGCAACATTGGTGTGGCATAATTTCTTTTGTTGTATTTGTTATAGCTAAATTTAGTTGTGCTTCAAGTGATAACTCAGTGTTGAAATTGCAGCTAGTGGAGGTGTCTTCAGTTAGACCTTCTTTGGAATCGGATGACCCATACAATCTATCAAATATTTCTCTGGCAGTTTTATAAATATCATTTTTTGACAAAGATTTAAAAAAAGAAGAAGCATATTTTTCATCATTTAATAGGTTATGTAAAAATTTGTATAAAGATACAACATTATCATTTCTCCTTTTACTTATTTCTTCTTTTATATTGTTTAAGAATTCTCTACTTATTTGGTTCTTTCTACATTCTTCCTCTAATTTATTAAATAAAAATTTTAAGGCTCCTTCGGCCGTTAATAATGTTGTATCAACTTCTACATTCTTCCTCTAGTTTATTAAATAAAAATTTTAAGGCTTCTTCAGCCATTAATAATGTTGTATTAACTCGACTTAAAGCTTCTACAGTTATTTGTGTTGGTTCTAATATAGCTAATAGAATTTCGACCATTTGTATGTAATTATTATTCCACAAATGGCTCAAATTTAATTCACTTAATGCCATTTGCACACAGTTTTTGATTTTTAAGAGCCGTTTCACCATTATTTCAATAGTATTCCAGCGTGTTTTTACAGTCTAGTAGCATAGCCAATTCTTTTTGTTCTTGGTCTTTTACATATTTTTGTGGAACACCATTTTTCACTGGAGAATTTTTAAAGAGTTACAATATTTTATATTCCTACAATTGCATCTTTAATTTGGGATTTAAGATAAAAGTTTTTGCTACGTAACACATCAATTTCCAAATCAAAGTCATCTTCTTCTGTACTTCCAATGCTAGCATCATCGTTGCTATCTACAGTCTCATGCTCGTCTACAGGTTTAATTATTTCATTTTTCGATTCAGCATAAAAGCTTTTCAAAACTGCTAGATGTATGCCATGATTGTAGTATAATTGGTGCAAGGCAGGCGATAATCTACCAAATTTCTTCATAACCTCAGCACCATCGCTCATAACAGCCACAATATCTTCTTGTAAGGGTAGAATAAACTCTTCTAATTTTTGTGACAGTATTTCTAAAGTTATTTCTGATGTACAATTTCCTTCAATAAAAATCAAACCAAGGTTAAATGAATTATTTTCATTATTTCTGTATAAATGAACACCTATGAATCTACGATTTGTAATGCTTATCCATTTGTCAATAGATACACTAAACTTTCTTTCTTTGTCCTTTAGTTTCTTTATCTGTACTATCTTAGTCTATTACTACTATTCTATAAATCTACTAATCTATTACTATTAGTACTATTTTTAATCTGTACTATCTCTTCTTTCTTGCTATGGTAAAATTCCACAATTAATTGTCTCACCTCAGAAGGATTTTGAGGTAATCTGAATCCCCTGGAGGTCATACTTTGCCGTATAAATTCACTTTTAGTAATTTTTTTTGAACGATATACTGTTCTCAGCAGCCAATTTAGAAATCAATTCAGCCAGGGTTGGTTATTTTACAAATTTTAAAATAGTTTTATTAGTTAGATTTTCAATTTTATGGCGTTTATTTTGATGAGACGTAGAACTTTCTAATACGCGAGTGTATTTGTGGACATTTTCAAGATGTCTCCGCAGACCAATCGCTGCTGAACCTTTGCATAATAATTTTCTTGTACATATATTGCAATGTGCCTCAACATTGTTTATTTTAAAATATGACTTAACATCTTTGTAAGTCTTGCCCTTGTCGTTGTTGCTCATTTTTTCTATAAAAACTAGAATAAATAAATAAAAAAAATTACAAATAACTTTTGGTAAGATCGTTTGAAAGAATCAGACAAATCACAAATTTCTTGAAAAATTTAATCTTTTTTTTTTTATATAAAATATAAAATATTGCAATAAATTATTACTTGAAAACTCTTGCTACCATTATATTAGTATTTAATGTAAAAAAAAAAAAAAAAAAAAAAAAACAGAAAGAAAAAAAAAACCTTGCGCAGCATTTAGCTTACGCACATGCAAAGAACAGAGAACTATAATTTGAATTAGATTAATCATTAAAACAAATAAAAATGCTAATTTTTTCATCTAGAATTTTTATTCAATTTCTTGAGAATTAAGAAATAAAAATAATGACTTTTTCTCGAGAAATTCTCGAGAAAAATTAAAGTACAAAAGATACAATTTTGTACAAGTCAAGTCAAGTGGGGGAGGGAGATTAGATTTTTTTTGCTATAATTCTAGCCTTGATCATGTTATTTATAAAACATAATTTTGTCTAATTTTGTTATAGTGTCGAAAACAATAAAATGGGATAAGTAATTATAAAGTAATATACAATTACAAATAAAAATTGATACAATTATGGGTGAACGGGTGAACAAATTACAACATAAAACTTTAAAAAATTAGTAACCTTACCTGGTAAAATCGCTTGATTGTGAATAATATTTCTGAAAGGTTTTGTGCTCTTTGTGTAATGTCATCAACATTATTTCTAAGTGGAATTCCTGAGAAAGTAGCATGGTCACTAAAGATATTTGGAAAAAAAAACATATTAAAATACCTCTACAACATAAAATAAAAAATAACTTAGACACATGTATAAACGGTCATTAGCGACTGTGCCAAAAACCATAAGTAGTAAAAATGGTTATAAAACACTTTTAGCGTTTCTGCAAAGTATCACGTTCTGGAGCAATTAAAAATGTCTTATTGTTCTAGTATGTTTCAATAAGTTTATTAACTACTTCTGTAAACCATCTTCTGATCATCCTTGCTGAGAGCAAGCAGAAAAGAGGTTACCATTTACTTAAACTAATATTGCAGTTAGTAATATATTTAGTAATATAAGTACTTATAGAAGAAAATTAAAATTTGCACTAAATTAATATAAAAGAAAAGATTTTTCATTTTTAAATGTTTTGATAAAATTATATTACATAAAAATTGGTAATATATATATATATATAATTAAATATTGCTATTTAATTATATATATATATATATATATATATATATATATATATATATATATATATATATATATATATATATATATATATATATATATATATATATATATATATATATATATATATATATATATATATATATATATATATATATATATATATATATATATATATATATATATATATATATATATATATATATATATATATATATATATATATATATATATATATATATATATATATATATATATATATATTATATATATATATATATATATATATATATATATATATATATATATATATATATATATATATATATATATATATATATATATATATATATATATATATATATATATATATATATATATATATATATATATATATATATATATATATATATATATATATATATATATATATATATATATATATATATATATATATATATATATATATATATATATATATATATATATATATATATATATATATATATATATAATATATATATATATATATATATATATATATATATATATATATATATATATATATATATATATATATATATATATATATATATATATATATATATATATATATATATATATATATATATATATATATATATATATATATATATATATATATATATATATATATATATATATATATATATATATATATATATATATATATATATATATATATATATATATATATATATATATATATATATATATATATATATATATATATATATATATATATATATATATATATATATATATATATATATATATATATATATATATATATATATATATATATATATATATATATATATATATATATATATATATATATATATATATATATATATATATATATATATATATATATATATATATATATATATATATATATATATATATATATATATATATATATATATATATATATATATATATATATATATATATATATATATATATATATATATATATATATATATATATATATAAATGCATACTTTTATATAAAAGCAAGGACTCGTTTTTTGTCGGCGTTTCAAAACGTGACATATTCTTAGTTTAAAATTCGAAGCGGATTAAGTAGTATCCATAAACATTAACGTTAAATAAAGCGATTTTCAAAAAAACTTTTAACTTAAAATCGTTAAAAATAAAAATACATATCTATCTACAAAATTCGATGACAAATGTTGTGTGTTGATAATAAAACCTTTTGAAGATATACGAAATGAATACAATATTCAAAGCAATTTCATACATAAATAGAATCGTATATGAATCATTAAATTAGTGTAAATATTACATGATCTTAGTTTCATTAAACACACGGCTTTTTAAAATCCTTTTTGTTATAGCCATGTGAATCTCGGTAATATATGACGGTCTATTTTATTAACTTTACGGTTTATTTATTCACCCGAGGCCGAATTCACTCCTCTCCGTTGAGCTTAAGAAAGCGTTAAGCTTGGTTTCCAATAGTTGTAGGAACGTAGTATAACACCTTTGTTTTATAACGTTGCACAACACCTTTGTTTAATAACGTGAACGTTTCTCAGCGTAATTTGCACAACTTAACGTCTGTTATACGACAAAAATTTTGTATGAAACAGCAACTTTTGTATTTCGGCAGCAATTGTTGCACAACATTTCTTTTTACAACTATTAAAAATTAAGCGTTAGTTAAAAAAGTTTCAAAGCAGTTTTTTTAAGTTAAAAAACATTTAAAATTTATTAACATTGAAAAAGTAGTTAAATAAAAGATTATTTTCAACGAATTATATTTTTTTATTAACAAAACCAAACAAAAATCATTAAGAGCTGCAAGCATAGCCAGAGATTATTAAGGATACGTAAACTTAAATAGGGAATTTTATTTTACTTACAAAAATTAAGTTTTTCAGGAAAAGAAATAGCAATTATTTTAGGTCACTGTTTAATCAAGTACTACATAATTTATCACCATATCTATTGCCACATCTATCGGCAATAGAGGGATGTTGAAATATTTTTGTATTTTGTATCACATTTACGTCTCCTAAAAAAAAAGGTCCTCCATTTCTAAGATATTTTAGGACTTTCACATTCTGGTTGGGGGTGCCTACCCCATACCCCCACCTCCCTAGATCCGTCACTGAGCTAAACACATTGGCAATTGTTTTATGTTAAAGTAACGTCAAAAATAAAACTGAGACTAGAAGTTGCTTTTAAATTACAAACACGCTTAAAATAGGATATATGTCATTAAATCTGAAGAGGGGAGAAGAAATTTGCATGGATGATGAAGAAATTTACATGCATGAGAAATTTGCATGCATGAGAAACCTTAGCAGATATATAGAGCATGATGCAAAACTGTACGGAAAAAAATCCATGAAAAATCTATGAAAAAATAAAATGGAAAAACCATGAAATTTCAATTGGTATTCGGAACACGTTTACATGTATTCTCCATTAAAAGACTATAGTTTTTCCATGAAAAAATATGGGTTTTCCATAGAAAAACCAAGATTTTTTCTATGGAAAATCCTTGGGTTTTAGTAGCAATGAATTTATCCTCATTTATAATTAATAGTTATAAAGTTTTTACCTCCTCTTTGACCAAGCTATCTGCATGGTAAACAACATCATTTATTTTGCCAATTAAACCTTCCTAGCTACAATGTAGTCATTTAAATCAAATGATAAAGTTAAAATAAAATGATTTATGTTCAAACAATTACATATTTGTTACCTGCATGTTAGTAAAATTTATAGAGAACAAGGCAGCAACAAACATAGTTATATTTATAAATTTTCATTTGTAAAAAACGTACTTCTTCATCTGCGCTATCTACATGATGTACCACTCATTTATATTGCCAGACATACCTCCCAGGTAATAATGTAGTAACTTAAATAAAATGATAAAGTTAAAATGAAACACTTATGCACATATATAAACGTTACCTACATGTTGGAAGCATATCTTTAGAACAAGGCAGCAACAAATACATTTATAAGTGATAATTTAAAAAAAGCTTACTTTTTTTAAATTTTCTTCCAAACTATCTAAAAGATGTAAAATATTGTTTCTATCGCTAGTAAAATCTTCTTGCTGATAATGTAGTTTAAAATTCATTAATTTAGTTCAGCTAACATGAGTAGCATATATACAGTGCATTACGCAGAATAACAGATTCAATATCAAATGGTATTCTATTGAGGAGGCGAGGTAGTTGCAACTAACAGCGCACACTACAGACAATTAACTGAACAATTTTTGGTCCTCTAAATAAATTGCCTATGACTGAAAAACTTTTGTTTACTGTAAGACGGGGCTACGTTCTATGCTGCTCAATCTTTTTAAGATGTACTTGAGAACATGAAAGTTGTAACTTAGAAACGTCAGATGTAGTTGAGAAACGAAAATTGTAATTTAGAAACCTAAGATGTAATTAAGAACACAAAAATTGTATATAAGATAGCGTAAATTGCAATTGAGAACATGATAGTAATTAAGATAGGTTTACTATATAAATAGTCAAAATCAAATTCTTTGTATTTCTGATATTGTAGGCTTAATTTACTTTGTAGTTTTAGCTTTAGCTGGACCTGCTTCTAGCTAAGCTAACCAAATGGGTCAGTCTTTTTCAATGAAATTTGAACTTCCGCTGCGAACCCAATTTCATACCGTCTCATATTTGACACCTAAAGTGTGCATAAGTCACGCGCATAAATGATTAGGTAATCTCAATTCGTTTCGAATGTTCAACAACTTTTCTTCTGTCACTTGTTAAAAACATGTTTTATTTGTATTTCAGGCCGAAAAATTGGACAAGTTGGATTAGTTCTGGCTATTCCAGAAGAGAATGTAAACAAATTTTGTGTAACAAGTCTAATACAAATTTAACAAAACAACAGACTTACGGTTTATAGTGTATTAGCATATAACACAATGGTCTTTCAACTCCATTATTATTACTGGGGCATACAAATACTAAAGTTGATAGTATTAACTAATTTAAATTCATGTCCAAGGAGACCTTTTGTAACAACTTATAAGTTAACATTGTATAGTCGCAATTAAAATTTACTTATGATTTCTTAATCACTCAATGCAACCGTGGCGCAGTGGTTAGAGCTCTGTCTCAAAACCGAGAGGTCCCAGGCTCGGCGCCGGCTCTAGCCTAGTAAGCCATATTGGTAAGGAAGAAAGTGTTTACTCTCTAATTAAATGTTTTTTCTCGTTTCTCTGTGATAAGTTTTATGTTCTTAATTGCACCTTGAAAAGATGCCGATCAATGAATTGCATTGAAACAAATATTTACTGACCGTATACTCTCCTAAAAAAGTGAGACATGTTTCAAATTTGTTTTTCTTCTTTTGGTGTCATAGTTATTGTTGCTAGTTACGTTAAGTTTTTAGGTTTCAATGATCTTGTTACCATGAAATGAAGCACCAGAGGGGTCAGATTTCTACCGAAGCATTGCAAAACTTGATGTATAGCATGGTAAAAAGATTTGTAAAGTAATTTAAAATAAAGGAGAAAATAAAAACTATCAAATGCATACAAATTTTGGAATTCTTAAGCATTTTATGTTTAATTTTCTAAAAAAATTGATTTATGCTTTCATTTGAATGTACAAATGATATTCTTTGTTTCAACATCTTATTTAAGTTAATAGTAACAAAACCACTAGTTTTCTGAATATTTAATTAAATAATTTTTTGTTACAGTAACTGTAAATAAATCGATGGTGTTAAATAAAAGGGAACCTTTGAAAAGTTTTGAGGAAAATGAAAAAATATAATACCTTTCGTGCGGATATAACACCCAGAAGTATTTATTAACATAGATTATTGAATAGTCTACACTGTTAAGTAAAATTAAGGTATTATATCGATTGGTACCACATTTTTTCGTTTTTCTCAAAACTTTTCTAAGATCGGTTACCTTGTGTTTAACATCATCCAAATACTTTAAATGTTTTTTAAAAATTAAATTTTCAAGAATAAAATTGAATTCTAAAAATAATTGCAATATTTTTGTAAAAGGTTTAAATTTATAAAAAATAACGATAATTGCATAAACGATTTGAATGTGGCGCGCTCCACGCCTAACTTACTTTACACGCGAAACAATGTTATAAGTTTTTATTCTATTTAGATTATTTATTAAATTTATAGCAATTTAGTATAAAAGCTGTAATTAAAAAAAATAAAATAAGCCAAAATCGTTTGAGTTAGACAAAAGGATAGCAAACTTATGACCGAAAATGCCGTTTAAAATACGCTACGCAAAAAAATAAGTAAAAAAATGTTTAAACTTTTAGGTCGGATTTCTGCAAATTGTTATTGTGAACCGTATTGAAATTTTTATTATGATGTTGTGAACTCAACACTCATTAAAATAAAATAAAAAAGTTACATTAGAAGTGGCCTACTCAGGAAAGTAAACGTTTTATCTTGACGCTATACATTTAACGTTTCATCGCTAACGTCACTTTGCGATTACCAAAGTTGGTTTCCACTGAAATCTGCTCATATCTATGCAACAAAAGTATCGGTGAAATAATATTTTATAGAAAATCAGTTTTCTGTGTGCGTCAGCAAAAAAAAATAGTCAAATGCATAACAAGTTTCTAGTTAGTTCATTAACCTCACGTTAACTTGAGTTTCAAAAGTTACGCGCGTGGAAAGATCTTCAGACATTGAGTTATATGCAGTTTCCTTGAACTTTCAAGCTAGCACATACATTGGTAAAATTTTAGAACAATATCGCGAGTTGTGTTGGTCGCCAATGTGGTTTTTATATTACTTTGGTTTTAAATGGGACGTCACTAATAACAAAAGTCCAACATTGGCACGATACCTATATATACATATAAAGGTATTGTGGTTTATCGTCCTTCGGCTATTTGTCGTATAGAAACATATACATGTATGTGTTTTTTTAGGTTATTTAGATGCTCTCTGATGTCCTTACGTCTTATCATGCAGCACCGCGGGAGAGCATTTAACTAAAAGTTCGCACCTCTTTCCTTACCAATGTCGTTTATTGGGCTAGAGCCCGCGTCGAACCTCTGGTTTCTGAGCCAGAACTCTATCCACTGCGCCACGGCTGCTCATATATATAAATTATGTAAGCGTAT